ACGATAAACGATAAACGATAAACGATAAACGATAAACGATAAACGATAAACGATAAACGATAAACGATAAACGATAAACGATAAACGATAAACGATAAACGATAAACGATAAACGATAAACGATAAACGATAAACGATAAACGATAAACGATAAACGATAAACGATAAACGATAAACGATAAACGATAAACGATAAACGATAAACGATAAACGATAAACGATAAACGATAAACGATAAACGATAAACGATAAACGATAAACGATAAACGATAAACGATAAACGATAAACGATAAACGATAAACGATAAACGATAAACGATAAACGATAAACGATAAACGATAAACGATAAACGATAAACGATAAACGATAAACGATAAAAGATGAACGATAAACGATAAAAGATGAACGATAAACGATAAACGATAAACGATAAACGATAAACGATAAACGATAAACGATAAACGATAAACGATAAACGATAAACGATAAACGATAAACGATAAACGATAAACGATAAACGATAAACGATAAACGATAAACGATAAACGATAAACGATAAACGATAAACGATAAACGATAAACGATAAACGATAAACGATAAACGATAAACGATAAACGATAAACGATAAACGATAAACGATAAACGATAAACGATAAACGATAAACGATAAACGATAAACGATAAACGATAAACGATAAACGATAAACGATAAACGATAAACGATAAACGATAAACGATAAACGATAAACGATAAACGATAAACGATAAACGATAAACGATAAACGATAAACGATAAACGATAAACGATAAACGATAAACGATAAACGATAAACGATAAACGATAAACGATAAACGATAAACGATAAACGATAAACGATAAACGATAAACGATAAACGATAAACGATAAACGATAAACGATAAACGATTAACGATTAACGATTAACGATTAACGATTAACGATTAACGATTAACGATTAACGATTAACGATTAACGATTAACGATTAACGATTAACGATTAACGATTAACGATTAACGATTAACGATTAACGATTAACGATTAACGATTAACGATTAACGATTAACGATTAACGATTAACGATTAACGATTAACGATTAACGATTAACGATCAACGATTAACGATTAACAATTAACGTTCAACAATAACATCTTGAAGAACCATGTTTCTCATTTGAATTGGCTCGGTTGGTGTTTTTTCTGCTTCAGAATTGCCTTGATCATTTCGCTACTGGGAATCACTAGTGTAGTGAATGCAGGAAGGTAGATAAGTCTGTACAGGTTGTAACACATTACAAGATCCCTATTTCTGTTGCACTTCTGGTAGCATCGGTATGCTGAATTAGAGAGAAGAAAGAAGTATAGTAATCGGCGATCAATTTTTCCTGCCTTGGGAAACTCACTGACACGAGCTGAAATAAAGGTATACCCCTTGGAGTCCGCTCTTTCATGACTTTCATCAGGGTTGCTGAACAAAAATCATCAGCGAGGCTTGCAACGGCCGCCTCTGAGGGCTTTGTTGGAGGGTTTTTCTGTGGCGTATCTAAGTGATCTACATTGTATGTTTTACATTTTCCCATGTCCAATGTCTTCTTTAGGAGATTTTGTATATACACCTTGTATTGTAGAAATGTTTTCATTGAATAAATGGAATTGAGCGGGCTCACTTGAAAATCACAGTTTGTTGACATTTTACTTAGCAATCATCTAGACCTCAATAGTTCACCACTGTTGAATTTGTTTCCTCTGTATGTAATAATATTTATTTGCTATGAACCCTTTCAAGTCAGGTACACCGCATATTTATGTTAAAATTGTGCCTGATTTCCGAAAATGAAGGTTTATCGATCCTGTCCACAGGTTACTAATCCTTCAAGTTGGGAAAGTAGGATATAAAAGCTAAGCAAGCCAACGTTGGTTTAGTTCATTGTACCAGTACATCACCTGACGGGGCTACTGTGTTAGCGTTGTGTGTTCAAGAATTTTGTGGAAATCTCATCGTTTGTGAAGTTTTCTCATTTAGAATATTCAAGGTGACGGATCCATTATAACGGACGAGTTTCGCAATTTCGATCCGTTCATATTCAGAATTGGTATCTGCGGGTTTTTGAAGTCGAAGATTATGATTCCTTCGTGGAAATTGGGAAATTCAAGATGGCGAATCAAATATGGCAGACTAGTTTTGTAATTATAATCCGAATACATTCAAAATTGGTATCTGGGGGTTTTTGCGCTCAAGGATGATGATTTTCTCTTTCAAAATAGAAGAATTCAAGATGGCGGATAAAATATGACAGACGAGTATTGTAATTAAAATTCGTTTATATTCTAAATTAGTATCTAGGGGTTTTTGGGGTCGACGATTATGATTTTCTTTTGAGGATTGGAGAATACAAGATGGCAGATCCGATTATTGGCAGACGAATTATTCAATTATAATTCTATTACATTCAAAATAGATATCTGAGAGTTCTCGGGTCCGGAAATTATATAATTCTGTCATTAAATATCGGAAATCTAAGATGGCAGATCAATCTCATGGTTTGAGAATCTATGATGGCGGATTCAAACTGAACATGAATGAAAAATAAAGTGATAAAACTGTATTGTTGAATATTCAAATGGGAACATAATTTCTAGGAATAATATGGATAGTAAAACAACGATTTTCTCCAAGCGGCAGGAAAATCGGCTTCTTTCTGACATTCAGGCAAAAAAAGTATGTTGCTATGCAACATCCCAAGAAATTCTAATGACATTGGTTATCAAAATTGACACTGACATTGGGTTGACAAAAAATGGTGGAGTTTTCAATAATACATCTGCACAAAATGGGTTCTATAACATCTGGAGTAAAAGTTATATGTTTCACACGGCAGTTAATGTATATCGACTGCCTGGGCTGAATTCCTAGCTTCGCCACGCTCGGCTATGAACCGCCCAGTCGCGGCGGTCAATCTACTTCTTTCCTGCCTAGTAGAAGAAATAACTATTGCTGGGTCAGCTTCAATCAATAACATTCGATGGGTTAAAGATTTTCGAGATATCCTGAAGACAATCATATCTATTAGTATATTTATTATTCCTGGGTGAAATTCGTGAAGGAGCCGAGGTGTTTTTTTTACTACTTTGAATCATCATCTACCATAGTTGTACACAGATATGCTAATAAATACTGGTTCACCAAGTCAAGAATTCCTCTGAGAACCATTCTCTTCAGATGTAGTTGTGAATTTGGAAATATCGCAACGCATTCAGAATATACCCCAACTAGCATTTATAGTCGCGATTACGTAATTACGACTATTGGGTCGACTATTAAGTAATATTTACTAGTTGCGGTTACGTTATAATTACGTCGTTACTACGTATTTACGACCAAAATGGGGAACAAATCACGAGTAATTATTACGGTTTGCCGACGTAGTGGGAACTCACACAATTACGTATTGCTTACGACCCGTCGACGTCGAAATTACGTAAAGATGTAGTAAATTTTCCTACCTGACTTTCTATTTCTTTTCCACTTCATAAAAATATTATTTTCTCTCTTTATTATTCTTCATTTCATCCATGAAGTTCACATTCACGAAAAATGAACAAGTCCAATATGCCTAACCATTCAATAAATAATACAAGGACAAACACGCGAAATAATTGATACTCGAACTTGAAAAATTCGAACAACATTCAGTTTTTCGATAAATGTGATGATTTTGCCTCGAAATTCAAGATGCGCCCACAAAATACGGCTCATTTCACCAAAAATATGGTTTTATTTCATTCGGCTATTTTTCAAAAATCATCGTAAATCATGTTAATTTCCATTATTATGCAATTTGTGATCGAACGAATGCTATTATTCTTCATAAAATGATGTTTATCAACAAGAAAAACCAAAATTATATCCTGTTCAAATGGTTATCACATCAATCAATATGGCTTCCAATCGAAAATGAATCAGAAAGTTACTTTTGGAACTCGTCAGTTATGATAACCTATGTATTGGTAACTTCAACTGAATATAATTACCAAAAAGTTGTTTCAACTATGAAGGAATTGTTTGAGTAGGAATTACCAATATGTTACTTGAAATATCACCAAGAATTGACTAAATTATTAGGTGATCGATCAAGTAACGACAACGTCGTAGAAACCTAATTGGTGACCATAGAGTAATTGCAACTGTGAAGCCTTCTTGGGGTGGTAAGCGTTACCGTAATAATATATCCAAAGTTCCGAAACCTTAAGAGTAGTTTTGAGGAGTGACAGTTTCGAAATAGTTACTTCGTAATAAGCCATGAGAATTTCTCACTTTGAAGTTATTATCTAGTGTAAAAACTACGTAATTTTCACTCACTAAATAACTATCACTGACATTTATACTATGAAGTTCTGAAATAAGTGATAAATACGTTATTATCACTAAATATAGGTAATAGTTTCTTGAACCATGGTGCCTGTGACTGAAAATGCTAGTTGGGACACATACATTATAATATGTGAAATACAATACATCACCAATTTTTTATGTAAGCTTTCGCCACTATAGTTGATACGCTTCGACGCCAATCAAGCCAAAAGGAGAAGATGTGATCAAATATGGATGAATTTTCGAAACAATATATTGCGAAAAATCTATAACGCCCTGAAGCAGTTGGAAAAATTGAACAAAATGTTTCTGGAGGATGTTTCAACCATTTCCATCTATGAGAAACAGTGAACTCATCTGTATGAATATTCCACGTGGACTTGGGCTACACAGCACCATTTCCAGGTGACACAAACCTCTTCGCGAGATCTCAGAGATAACAACATCAGGATCATATGCGAACTGCTATCGTGAGGTAGTCAAGATCGCCATGTGCTGCAACTGAGCGAACTCCTTCTTGAAGTCCCATGTAGAAATGTTCCAAACCTTACCTTCCAGTTATCGATTTCATTTCCACAACTAATTCCCAGAGTCATTACAAAATTAACCTGAATCAGACATTTCTACTGCTTGAGCTAGCTGGAACGTAACCTGAACAAGAAAGTATGCTTGCGAGTTTCTGAAGCTATCACGTTCTGAGAAAAATTTTTTTTTATCCATTATTCGGTTGCGCCTTCACGAGCAATAACCCTCAAAAGTCTTCAACAGACTTGTGCGAGCAAGGAATGACGGGAGTCTCACCTTTCAACGTCTTACGTCATTCTTGCTGAGAACGCTAGAGAAGGTATTAGAAAGTTTCCTCATGGAGGGGCACCTCCCCTGAAGGTGAGCCCGTTTCGAAGGAACCAACACGCCTATATGAGAGGAAGGTCGACCGAATCGGCCCTTCACTCCATAGTGCGAAGGGTCGAAAAGACATTACAATTCAAGGAGGTGACGTTAGGAGTATTCTTCGACGTAGAGGGAGCTTTCGACAAGGCGAGGATGGCGACGATACGTTTGGCATTAGGAACCAGGAAAACTCCCCCTTCATTGTTCAGCTGGGTGGTATCGTCCCTGACCAGCAGAAGGGTGGAGGCAGGACAGGGAGACCAAAGGATGGGCGTCGTAGTGGGGGGGGGCTGTCCTCAGGGAAGTTGCCTCTCCCCCCACCTATTATGTTAAGTCATCGACGAACTCCTGGGCAGGCTCACAGATGAAGGTTTCGAGGCACAAGCATTTGTGGATGTTGGACTGATCCTCGTCAGCGGGCGATTCTTATGAGTCGTCTGTTACCGCATGCAAGTGGCCTGCTGAAAAATTCAGAGGTGGTGCGATGAATCAGGGTCTCAGTTAATCCGACGAAAACGGAGATGATCCTGTTCACCAAACAAAGAAAAGGGGATGGGTTCAAGCCACCCACCATGTATGGCCAAGAGTTAGCATTAGTTCAACAGGTCAAATACCTAGGGGTGGTTCTGGACTCCAGACTTTCATGGAGACCGCATGCGGATAAGGTTGTGCAAAAGTCGGTGGCTATCTTATGGCAACCGAGGGGAGTTGTAGGAGAAACTTGGGGCATCAACCTCGAGATTATGCGCTGGATTCACACAGCAGTCGTTAGATCAAAGATCTATTATGGGTCGGCAGTGTGGCCTGGCGCAGAAATCATTACGATAGGTCGGAACCTAAGTAAGGTCCAGAGGATGGCATGCCTAGCAATAACAGGTGCAATGAGGACGACGCCAACGGCAGCATTTGAAGTAATGCTGAGGCTACCACCGCTTCAAATCTAGATGAAGAAGGAGGCGATGGCGGCCCACCTAAGGATGCGGGACTCAAGAAACTGGGCAAGTGGAGAGACAAAAACAGAACATGCAAAAATAGCAGAGTGGGCGGAGCAAGAGATTCCTATCTCCACTCTCAGGGTGAATGAAGAACAGGACAAGCTCAGATGGAATAGGAGGTTCAAACTCACTATCCCAAGCAGAAAGGAATGGATTCCGTCTGACTGACAAACAGGCCTCGGGTGCAGGAATTTATCTCCAAGAGGAAAACATACGAGAAAGCTACGCTCTACATCTGCTCGGACAGTCAGGCAGCACTTGAGGCTATCTGTCATCTCAGACCGAGCTCAGCATTGGTACGGGAATGTGGAGATGCTCTTGAAATATTAGCAGAATCAAAGGAAGTTGAACTGATGTGGGTCCCGGGTCACAGTGGGATGCCCGGAAACGAAACAACAGACGAACTTGCTAGGGCCGGATCCGCATAGCCGATTCTGGGACCAGAGCCTGTACTAGGTATAGCAAGGAGCCAAATTATGTCAGCTCTCGATGAATGAGCGGACAAGGCAGGAGAATACTGGAGAAATATGACAGGTTGCAGGCAGGAATAGGAATTCATGGCCGGTCCGAGCAAATCAAGGAAAGAGTGGCTGCTTGGTAGAGACAGCCAAGTACTCCGCCTCCTCATTGGAGTACTCACAGGACACAACAGGCTAGGCAGACACCTATCACTCATGGGGATAGAGGACAACCCCACTTACCGTAGATGCGGAGAAGACGTGGAAACGCAACTCCAGTTCCTCGGCGAGTGCGAGGCGTACGGAAGGCTGAGATTTGAAATCTTTGGAGTAGACAAACTCCAACAGGAGGACTTGATTATATTAGAGTGGACGGACATTCTGGTTCTCATCAGGAGGTCAGGGAGATTCGTGAAGGAAATCTAGGTGAAGGAAGCGTAGATATGTGGGGAGCAGGGGTTAGCAAAAAGGGCCCCTCGGGGCCTACTTGTTCGGATTCAGCCTCCCCACCTACTACTACTACCTTTCAACGTGTGATCCCAAACACTTTCATAGGCCATCAGAAAATTTCCTGCGGTCACGGTGGGAATCGAACCCACCGGTTATACAACGTGGATAGATTATTGACGCTCTAACCACGAGGCTACGCTGGCCTACTATATCACGTATGTAACGTGATCCAGATATTCTCACTGCGAGTTCGTACAGTTGATCCGAACGTGATCTGAATCTGAAATTCTTATTGTGAGTTCTGCAAGTCATCCCGAGGGTATAACAAACAAGAAATTCTTGATGCGAGTTCATAAAGAACATTTTCAATAAGCGATAGCAAAATATCAACATACGACGTGATTCTAAAATCTCAAAAGAGTCTACCATCATCTTTACATATACAGGGTGACCAGAATTCTGAATCTTGGATCACCCTGTATATTTTCCTGATTCGATGTCAGTTAATAGTGAATAGAAAGTTCAGATAGCGACATGTGAGCCGTTCTGACCAATATTGATAGTTTCGACATAAAAAAATTTCAAAGTTGAAATATTTTGTTTTTTAAAACCCTATATCTCTGTATTTATTGCTAGACCCGAGTGTGATGCTTCGATAGAATCGGCTCTCGAGGAAGAACCTGAAAATGCGATAATATACAGGGTGTGTTCCATTTGGAGAAACTCATCATCTGCCGATATCTTGAAATTCGAACATTCTATATATATGAAAACAATTTCAGGTGATAGTTTTCATGAAACCATATAACTGTTGTATTCGATTTTTTCTTTATATCCGACGGTTTGGCTGATATAGAAGAACACAGTATTGAATCACCTGATATATGATCCTTTTCTGAATCAGATGTGAGAAGTTGAAGGAGAAAAATATAGTCTGGCATATACAAACTGAGATATCGCGTGAAAATTGAACCTATCAACCTTCAACTCAGGGAGTTCCTTAGCTGGAACAAAATAGTTAATTCTTCTAAGCTGGATTCAGAACAGTTGGGACTACTTACACTATGCTGACAGCCGACTGCTGTTAGCTTATGAATACCACAAAAATCCTTAACAACTCAAATGAAAACATGGATATCTCGAGAAACTCGCAAAATGATACTCACGAGAATGCCTTGAACAGTTCGTGATGCGAACTCTCAGAGACCTCGACAGGAGCATTTTCGAAGATTCCTTGGTTCACCCGTAGTTGCGAGTAAATTGACGCAAATCAACCGAATTTCTCACCGCAAGACTATGTGTGGGAATATCTTAAATAACTCCTAGTTGCGAACACTTACAGACTTCGTCAGTAGTGATTGATGCGAATCTCCTGAAGTACTCGCCACAAGGCTATGTGTGCGAATATCTCGAATAATTCGGTTCTGCAAATACTTATGGAGATCGCACCAGTGGCAATTGGCGCGAATCTCTCAAAGTTCTCGGAACAAGGTAGTGTATGCGAATTTCCCAAAGAACGCGCCTGGAGGTATTGTATGTGGATTTTTTCATCGCTTAGACCTCGTTGAGAATATCCCGGCGGCAGACATTTGGAGCAAAAAATAAGCTCTCGCTAACCGCTCGAAGAAGTGATGAAAGGAGTCACAATTTCCTGGATAGAGGTTGCCGAAATATCTTCAAGGCCTCTCTGTGTTGGCTGGGTTTCAAGTCTTAACACATCAAGCAATTAGAGGTTACTGACTGAACATGTGTTGATAATTGAGTGAGAAAAATCATAACGACATACGGTGTAATCTACAATTTCATCATATGCTGAAATTGTCTGAAAATATCAAATTTATTGAAAAAAAAAAAAACTGTGGGCGGTGACATTATATTATAGGTATAATGCACGGTGTATGTATACATGATAACTACTCCTCTTGGATCTATATGCATGATCACTATTCAGACGATTTCAAATTACCCGTGAACAATATCATGTCGAATAAATTGATATTCGCGTGCATTTCAAGCGGTGCATTCTGCCAGATCAATAGGTGAAGTGTTTGTGAAAAATGTTCGAATTGTGCATGCGATAGTGTATGAAGAGGCGAGAACGAAATTGATTTTATTGAATCCAACCAGAAACAATGACCCTCTCTTTATCAATAATAGACTCTAACGGAAAATTCGACTAGCGATTTTTGGGAAACAATGGGAATAAAATTATAATATGACAGCTGCCACCGGGCACGACATTATCTACATGTGCCAGGAAAGGTAATCTACATCAAACTGAACGGAAGCATTCCGGTTGATGGGCAGTAATAATATTATATTTCATTTCATTCAGACTACATACCAAGCACTAAATTTGTCTCACATTCATTATCTGCGACTTGCACCAAGATATTTCTGGTTATGCAAGTGTCAATTCACAAAATACTCATAAAACTTCTAATTGGAATATTGAAATCACTCCTGATGAGGTGAAGATCTCGAAGTAGGATAGGTCTACCTACTACTTTGTCACATTCTTTTTTTGGATGATTAACCTCTCTCATTGCTCATACTCATATAATATGTGAGCAATATAGCTGTTTCTGATCATTAATGAAAGCATCCCCGTTATTCATATGATTTTTCAATGAGAGTTCTTCATCAATGTAAAGACGAAGGTTTTTAGTTGATCTCGGATATGTGAGCTGGCTAAAAAACAGTTATGACTCAATTTTGACATTAACTATCGCGAACATTGATCCATGCTAAACTCAGGTTTGTTATCAAAGCTCAGTCTCTTGGCCCCTGTTCCAGATATGATCAATAGCATTAACCCTTAGTCTATACCGTGGCCACCTCCTGTGCCTATATTCTT